ATGATTTTACAAATCAAGAATGAAAACCCTGGCCCAACTCTCTATGAAAGTTTCATCCTACGTAGTATGAAATAAATTTCCTTCCCTGGGGTATGAAAATATGACCATCTCTCCCCTTTAAAACAGTAAGTCCAGTATTTGCTCAAAAGTATGTATTTATAAGGGGCCCTGGTGGTCCAGTGAGCTAAATGTGGGGATGCTAACATGGTTGGTGGTTCAAACCCAACAACAGCTCTGTGAGGAAAAAATGAGTCTGTAAAAAAATATTTACACTCAAGGAAACAGTAGAGCAGGTCTACACAGCCCTGTACAGTTGCTGAGATGGAATAAATTCAATGGCTGTGGGTTGGTGGTGATGTTATGTATGGCCTGCATTTATCATTCCATTGGCAACTCTATAAATCAAAATATAAGTCAAACCCAAAATATTGATATATTGAATCTCCTCCCACCACTTCTCTGTCAGTATGTCAATCATACCAGTGTGACGTGTGTTGCTGTGATGCTGGAAGCTGCCTCATTGATATTTCAAATACAGGCAGAGCCCCTGTGGTGAGGTTTTCAGAGGAGCTTCTAGACTAAGAACAGACTGGGAAGAAGGAATAGACTATCCATGTCCGAGTGATTAGCACTGAAAACCTTGCAACTAGCAGTGGAATGTTGGCAGTGTGCCGGAAGATAAGCCCCTCAGGTTGGAAAGCATTCAAAATACCACCAGGGAGAATTGATTCCCCGAAACAGAGTGGACCTTAATGGAGGGCCTTTATGTGCTTTGAGGACTTTCATGTGCTAAGGAGCATGACTCAAAAGGAGAGGAAATAACTGCCAGTTGTCAAAAATGAAACGGAATGCCTCGGAGGCATTCTTGAACTAAAATGTCTGAGCCATTTTGAGTCAGACAGTCACGGTTGACTATGGCAGGAAGGACACATTCAAGAGGAATAGCGTCATATGACTTGTCATCAGAAAGAGTATTTTAAACTCTATCTCGAAGTACAATGCTGTCTACACAACCTATGTGCCGACAAGGAAGCCCAACTGCTACAGTATTATTCAAGTTTACACACCAACCATTAAACCCGCTAATGATTATAGTGATGAATTCTACCAACTTCTTTAAGTCATCAATTACACATCGATTATTATTGGTGATTGGAATGTAAAAGCTGGAAACCAGTTGAAATGTTTCCCAAAAGCTGATGACGCACTGGAAGCACTCAGTCTATGCCAAGACATTTGGAGATCGAGTACCTGGCCAACCAACTGGAAGCGAGCCATTCCAAACAAAAATGACCCAACATAATGTGGAAATTAAAAAAAAAAAATTATCAATATCACATACAACTAAAATTTTGTGGAAGGTAACTCAAAAATAGCTACACATGGAACTGGTCTAATGACAGATACACAGACCAATGGATAGGAACAGGAAATCCAGAAATAAAATCAGCAGCATACAGACAACTGATCTTCGATAAGGGCCCCAAAGCATCAACTGGGAAGTTGGTGCCTCTTTAACAAGTGGTGCTGGAAACACTGGATATCTACCTGCAGAAAAATGAAGCAAGACCCTTACCTCACTCCATACACAAGAATAAACTCAAGGTGGATCACAGACTTCGAGGTAAAACCCCAAACTATTAGGATCATCCATGCGAGAACTGGAACAAATCTAAGACCTTGGTGCAGGAAACACACAGGCTACCAGAAATAGGGAATGATACACACACAGAGGAAGCTAAAATAGATGAGTGGGGCATACTAAAGATAAAACACCTGCGTACATCAAAAGAATTCATCAAGAGAGTAATGAGAGAGCCCACAGACTGGGAAAAGATATTTAGCAATGACATATCAGACAAAGGGCTTATTACAAGAATTCTTTGTACAAGGATCTACAAAACTCAGAAAGCCTACAATAAAAAAACAACAAGTTACCCACTGAGGAGGTGAGCAAAAGACCTGAACATAAGATTCACAAGGGAGGAAACCCAAATGGTCAATAAACATGAGAAAATGCTCCCAATCATTAGCCAGCAGGGAAATCTAAATTAAAACATGAGATACCACCTAACACCCTTAAAGATAGCCCAATTCAAAAAATCAGAAAGCAACAAATGTTGGAGGGAATATGGTAAGACAGGAACTCTCATCCACTGCTGGTGGTCATGTAGATACGTAAAGCCACTGTGGAAACTGATTTGACGATACCTAAAACAGATGGAAATCGAGGTAGCTTACAACCCAGCAATCCCCCGACTGGGCATATACCCAGAAAAAGTAAGACACCCCACAATCCGACATCTGTGCTCCCACGTTCATCACAACTACCTAATCTCCATCAATAGACTAATGGATCAAAAAAAACCTCTGGCACATGCACACACTGGAGTATTTTGCATCCCTAAAAAGCAGTGATGAATGCATGAAGTACATCATCTAGTGGAAGGAGTTGGAGGTATTATGCAGGGTGAAGTTAGCCAAGTACAAAAGGACAAGTACACCGTGAGTCCCCGAGGCAAGGTCCAACAGCAGGACAGGCACACAGGGAAATGCACCCAATGCATAGTCCCCGGGCTAAGGACCAGGTGCTCTGGTAGGGGACACACCAAACCCAAGGATGCATATGGTATCAAAAATTCAAAAAATTTTTTTTCAAATAAATAAAAAAGATGTCTATAGCACCGGTGCTGAAAGGCACCTTTTCCTCCTCTCATGCCTTTACAGCACACAGGAGGAAAGAAAAAAGATGGCAATTGGGGACCAGGGCACTAATCCACTCATTGGAAGGGTATTGTTTATGTCTCCACAGGAAAGGGAGAGCAGACCTCATTCCGATGAGTCAATCCTTGAGAACGACTTCCTGCATGGAGCAGCTCATGAACAGAGGACTGCAGGGCCAGCCCCAGCTCAAGATACCCCATCCGCTATCTAAAAGACAGCACCACAGAGGACAACACTGAAGATGCAGTGCAGGAAGAGTGGCTGGTCTAACCAGCCTACATGGGGGCAAACCAAGAGGGGAGTACAACAGACCAGCAATGGGAACAAAGCCACAAAGTCCTGGAGGAATCCCGAAAGTAGATGCCTGGCTTCTAGTTGAGTGATATTCACAAGGGGGTCACACTGGAAGTATAAAGGTGTAAGATTGGGGGGAGTGGGGGAGCACTAGACTGCTCCATCCTTGACTACAAAAAGAGCAATGGGGTCTTAAATGCTGAGGACTAAAAGAGTGTATGTGCTGTTTGGTAAGCGGACCCTGGGACATGGATCCCTGAAAGAAATGGGGTTGGACTGATGGATCATAACAGGGCCTGCTCGCTACTTAACAGAGATACTCATCTACTCGGGGTTAGGTCAGCAGTTAGACTTGGAACTATTTATATGGTCTCTCTTTTTTCTTTCTTCTTTTTTTCTTATGTCTAAGATAGGCAGGATAAGCAATCCCAAGGAGACAGCAAGGGATGATGGTTGGGGGGAAGGAGGGCATGGGAGAAGCAGGGGAGGAGAGCGGTGAGCCAATAACGTCAAGGACAGGGGAATAGCAAGGGATCTAAAAATTGATGGTGAGGAGGGTATAGTATTCCTGGCTGTTTTTGATCAAATGAAATTTATCAGAAAGGAATCACTGAGAGGCGAAAAATAGGTAAACATGATAATGGGTCAGGAGGAAAGAAGAAAGTAAAAATTACATATATAGGGATAGAGATATGTATATATGCAAACATTTAAATATATATATAGATATAAATAAGGCAGCAGATAACTTCGGGCCTCTACTTAAATCTTACCTCAGTACAAGAACGGTGTGTTCTAATAATGTGGTACTGTATGATACTCACATTGCCAACACAATCGCTGAAGACAAAATGGGTGCATAAGCAAATGTGGTGAGGAAAGCTGATGGTGTCTAGCTATTAAAAGATACAGCATCTGGGGTCTTAAAGGCTTAAATTAAACAAGTGGCCATCTAGCAGGGAAACAAAGCCCACATGGAAAAAGCACACCAATCTTTGTGATCATGAGGTGTCAACAGCAACGAGTATCAGAAATTCAAAATCAAGCAATCAGAAGCTCATAAACAAATAATCAAATTGACATGAAAAAGCGTAGACAAGGTGGAGACCCAAAACCCACCTGCAAGATAATTTGACAGTCCCTCACAGATGTGACACATGGGAGGATATATCCAGGGTGAAGTATAGCACTGATGAAACACATATCCTCTAGTTCCTTCCCTCACTATTATGGCCTTAGTTTTACCTCTTGTTATACCTGTTAATCTTGTTATACCTGCGTTTGTTCATTTGTACAATTAAGATCGTACGATTCATGAAATCCAAGATAGATAAACCCCTCAGAAACAGTAACAGGAGTAACGACTCCCTGAGAGTACAAGAAGGGGGGTAAGGGGCCAGACAGCAATGATGACTGTACAACCCCACTTGAGGGGAATGAAAAGCAGAATGGTAGGTGAATGGATACATTGGATGGCTTAATACATGGCAAAATAATAACAAGAAGAGCTAACTTTCCCTTAATACTGATTTTTTAAAAACCTTAGATCAACCATTTCTCGAGGAGCGCTGGTTCCTTTCAGCAGGGGCCAGCAGGTGGAAATCATGATCTGGGTCTCAGCAGTGCTACCTGCTCTCGGGGCATGTTTTCCTCAATAATGACGATAGTTATATATCCAATGGGAGTACTGAAATGGAAAGTGTTGTTCCAAAATATATTGTGTCCACTTATTCTATCCTATAATATATTTAAAATGGCAATATTACGACAGAAAAAATCTAAGGAAACTATTGGGGGAAAAGGGTGTTAATTCACCTCCATAAATAGTGTTAATTCTTAATTACTACTACAATTGTATCTCTTGAAAGACCAATAATAAATACTAACATATCATCTTTTTGATCTGCAATCACATGACCTTCATGTAGTCCTTTTCACTTGTGAAAAATTGGACAGGTTTAATAAACACAGTTCTAAATAGCTTAAAGGAATAAAAAGCTTTATTTTAAAAAATTCAAATAGGCTTCAAAAGAAAACTCCTGTCCATTTACTGAGCACCAGAGCACCAGGCGGCAAGCGACTGACTGCGGTCTTGCCCTGGGGGCGCAGGACGGCCGCCTCCTGCACTCATCTCTGCATGGCGGTGACCATGTAAATCCAGTGTCATACAATGACAGTTCTTCACACTTGCTTCAGGAACAAGTAGATCAGGAAGGCTAATGCAGGTGTCAAATGGCGAGGCCTGTTTGTCCACTGTTCTCTCTAATGTCCTCTCCCTGGTTAAGAGAAAATTAAAGCATTAACAGTAGAGAAAAATCATGTTTTCAGACTGATAACCCTACTCTCAAGTTCAAAATCAGCATTTGTTTTTATCAGATTCAACTCACACTTACATTATCTTTATTTTTTTACATTACCTTTTAATAAAACATTTCATGGGATTCCAGTCATAATCCCTGAAATGATCATTAGTAGGCTTACAAAATGCATTCAAATTAAACAAAAGTAGTAAGGAGGGGGGTTTACAAACTTTACCAATTCTATAAGTACCATATATACTCCTGTATAAGCCGAGCTTTTCAGCACATTTTTAACGCAGTTGTTGTGGTAAAATTAGGGGCCTCAGCTGATATACAGGTCAGCTTATACTTGAGTATATACAGTAGATATTAAAATCTTAGTTTCTAAAGAACTAGGATGACTTGAAAATATATACCAAAAACCAATCAAACTCCATGATGAGAGACCCCTATATAAACCAAACTGACCCAATTCAGGAGGTGGGAAAAGATTCCACAAAGCAACAAAGAGAAATGAAAGAATGCTATTAATTAGAGAGCTAAGGCCAACACAATGTCCTATTGGCAGGTAATCTCAATGACAGAATTCAGGCATGCAAGGTTTTTCCGCCACTCACCTCTGAAACCACCGCCCCCTCTTCCTCCTCGGAAGCCTCCACCTCCACGTCCGCCTCTAAACCCACCTAAGACAAACGAAAGGTGCATTACACTGCAGGCTCGCAATCTGACGAACTGCAAAGAGCGATGCAATCTGTACAAAGATGAAGAAACACCGAGTCACGTAGTTCATCCTACAGAATTTTTTTAAAGTGCAATATAGACAAATTATAGTGGTAACTGCCCAGGTAAGACAAGTATTCTGTTTTAATGAATTAGAAAATCTATTACATTAAATTTACATCAGCATTATTGCTGTCTGTCTACGTAAGCTTTTGATTATGGTACAGTGGCAGACTGGGCTTTACTCTGGAAATACTAAAATAAATCTATTTAAGGTTAACTGAGCTGCATATAGACCATGGCTGATACTCACACATATTAATTATCTGTGAAATGTTAAGATGTCTTAAGTATTTGATATCATCCAACATGTTTGACTTCCTACTCAGTCTCGATTTTTACTTACTAAGAGAGCTAATTTTATCAAAAAAAGAAAAAACCCAAGCCTAACTTATGAAAAGGCATATGCTTCTAAAATGCCAATAGGAAAATACAAGGCAAGGTTTCAAGAAAATAGAATTAATACATTTTTGGGAAAAAAGTATGCCAGTTATCAGCTCACCATAGCATTAATAGCAAATTAAAAAAACACAACAACAACAACAAAAATGCAACAAAAATCAGAATATAAATAAAGGTACCAAGACCGGAACCCTCGGGCACTGCTGTTGAGACTGTAAATTGGTGCAACCACTGGGGAAGCAGAGTGGTTTTTCCTTAGAAAGTTGGGATTTTAAAAAAAGAAAAAGAAAGTTGGGAGTAGAAATACCGTATGCCCCAGCAACCCCACTAGGTATGTATCCTACAGCAGGAAGAGCCATAGCATGAGCTGACACGTGCACTTCCTCGCTCATGCCAGCACTCTTCACAAGAGCACGAAGACGGAAGTAACCTAAATGCCCGTTGGTGGAGGAATGATAAACTTTGCTTTATGCACACGTGAGGCAACATTAAAGCTTAGTGGTCTGCGGGGCAAGAGACTGAATGACGTTAACATTATATATGACCACTACTTTAGAGTCAAGTTTTGGGAGCTTTTTTTTTTTTAAGATGAACTATCTGTCACTAAAGACTTCAAAGTCCTTTTCTATTTTACTCTCCCTTCTCTGTTTTTTGTTTTTTAAGCCACCCAAACCACTATTTATGTTTGGGGGATACGGAATCTGGAGGGATATTTTGTTTATTTTTAAAGAAAATACTATATATACTTACACTGCCCATCTCAAGAAATGAAATAATCAGCCTACTAAACTCTCCGTGTTTGTGTGTGTGTGTCCCCACCCCCCACTTCCCCCTATTTCCGCCCTCATCCTCATAACTCAGCAAAGTCTTATCTGGAGGTGTATAAACCATGTTTCTTCTTGTTTTCCCTTATGACAAAGGTGATATTAAATATTAGTGTTTCACACTAAAAAACTTGCTTTGAAAGGAGGGAGGGCAAGGACGTTACAGGCTGGAGGTAGATGGGAATTAGCTGGGATGAAGGGGAAAGCAAAACATAACAAGAGAGAAGAATGGTAAAAACGATCGAGGCAGGGTCAGAAATTGAGAGGTCTGTTAGTGAGTTCTGCCCTGTGGGTATCCCGGAGCGGATGCTTGGATGGCATGTAGGCTGAACCACGTGGGAGGGAAGTGGGAGCACACCATTGGCAGGCGCATCTGACAGAGGATGTCTGTATGCTTAGATTTACTTCTGCTACAAATGTATCCAGAAATGTAACCGAGCCTTCAGGAGGCAAAGTTACAAATACATCTAAGACATAACAGAACTCAGTGAGGGAATGAATTGCTGGGTCTTGGGGATCAGGACCACAGTCTCAGAGAACCAAGAACAACTGACATCACACAGTTCACAAAGAGAGTTCTACATCCTACTTGAGCGAGCAGTGACTAGAGTCTTAAATGCTTGTGAGTAGCCATCTGAGGTCCTCCCATTGATTGGGCTCTCCCCACCCAGAGAAGAGTAATGAAAACTGAAAGACATATGAGAACAATTAGTCCAATGGCTGATGGAACACACAAATTTCACTCTCTATGATGCTGTGACCAAAGGAACCAGAGGTGCAGGGATACCACTACCAATTGCTCTGAAACGGACCACGTTAGAAGGTTCTAGATAAGAGGGGGAAGGAAAATGTGGAATAAACAAAGTCCTAAAATATGAGACCCGACTTGCTGGTTGGACATAGGTGGATGGGACCTTCTTAAACCCTTCAGGTCTGGAATGGAACCCACCCTTGTGATAAAATAACTATTTAAGATGCGAAGGGCATTATTTATCCAAGAACAGAGTTCAGAGGGTTGGGAAAGGAAGAGGACTAGAAACAAGAAACAAGGGGAAAAGCCAAAGAAGTGATGGTGGTACCCTGAGGGATTTCCAGTTGCAAATCATATACAAACATAAACAAACCCCGTGTGAAACAGTGAATGTGAAAACCAAGGATCTACTCTGTTGACTGTCACTTCGATCCCAGAAGCAAGCTTGGCGGGGCGGGGAGGAGGATGCTAGAGGCCCTCCTCCATTCAGCAAATACTCAAAGGTAACCCTCAAAAAAGGGATTGTGACCAAATGCACAGCAGCTGATGGAAAAGAACATAGTTCAAATCCAAGAGTGGCTCAACGGGAGAAAAGCCCTAGCAATCTGTTCCCAGAGATGACAACCCTGGAAACCCCAGGGGACAGTTCTGCTTTGTCACACAATGCCAAAGTTGAC